ATTAAGGCATGTACAGCTCAGCTCGATAAAACTGTATTCTCTTTATAACACGTACACCATTTAATGTTAACCCTGTAGATTACAAATGGGTGTTTGTACGAAAGAGAAATACAAACAATATGGTGGTATGATATAAAGCGAGACTGGTAGCTTAAGAGTTTACGCAGAGACCCTGAATTGATTTTGGTCAAATATTCTCTCCCACAGCATATGGCATTACGTTCCGCAAATTAACTTTATTGGCAGTGAATTATGAATTTAGATATGCAGTTGATGAACGTCATGACCGTAATTTACTGGTCATTAGCCGTTAATATTTATTTGTAAATCCCCGATGGATTCAACACTTTTGGAATGTGGAAAGTGAAAATCGCAACGTGTATCATTAAACTACTAAAGTCTTTGTATGACTTGAATATTATTGACTGAGTGTTTTCCTCCCGAAGAAGGAATGTATAAATAATATGTACCATTATGTGTTCGTTAAAGAATTGCTAATGGGGTTATTTATTTATCATCTCAGTCGATATTGACGGTTTAAGTATCATTGAAACACATAGAGAGCTTGGTGATATCAGCTCATGTCGAAAGATGGAGTTTTAAAATAAAAGACTTGGAAATCCAAGTATTGTCTCGACCTGAAGATCGAGCTTCTCATTGAAGAAGTTTTATACACCAATTAGCCTACTTGAAAAATGTCATGAAGATGTTTTATATGGATAAGTATTATTTACTTATCACACAAACGGTTGTCTATAATCTCTTGAAGTAGATAAAGGATCATTTAGACTCGAAGATGATAATGAGGATATTTAGGGACTGGAAGTCCATTACTTCATTCCTATTTGAGCACTATTATTGAACTAGAAGTTCCATAATCGCATCAAGCCTGATATTGAATTTGCGATGAAATTGCTAGCAACATTTAGTGTTTCCCCCTACAATGAAAATTGGAATGGTATTTAACATATCCTCCAGCACCTTCGAGGTACAAAGATTTTGACATTTATGTGAGAAACCCATATGTGGTTTTGATGGACTACTTGGGCATTGACTCTTTTATTTGATACCTATGATGCCAAGTCCAAAACTGGTTATGTTATATTTTTACCCCCAATGTCCCATATGAGGACAAATAAGATTGTGTTGCACAAGCAAGTAATAGGTTTGTTAAAGGGAACCTTACAAAACCTGTTGCACCTAAGTCCTTCTACACACATGAACTCTAGAAGAATTGTAAGATTCTTGTTGAGAAAGTTTGCCCCACTGAACAATCTTGCAGATATGTTCACTAAGTCTCTGCCTACATCCACATTTGAGTAATATGTTTATAAAATTGGGATGCGTAGGCTTAGAAGATTGTTATCTTCAGGGGGAGCGACAACCCCTAGCTGTGCTAGAATGGACAATCTAGAGGACTTTTGAAATCCTGAAGATTATGCTATGAAAGCATATGGTTGTACTCTTTTTCCCTTAGCTAAGTTTTTTCCCCACAAGGTTTTCTTAGGCTAAGGTTTTTAATGAGGCAACCGATGTTGGTGCACTTGAATGGATAGTCCTGAAGACCCTTGAAATCTTGAAGATTATGCCCAGAAGGCTTATGGTTGTACTCTTTTCCTTTGGCTAAGTTTTTTCCCACTGGGTTTTCTTAGGCTAAGGTTTTTAATGAGGCAACCAGTGCAACACAATAGTTTAACATACTCCGTGTACTCTTTTCCTCGTCTAGTTTTTCCCCACTGGGTTTTCTAGCGAGGTTTTTAACGAGGCATGAGTGTGGTAAGATAATGGCCAAGGGGGAGTGTTATAAATATTTCATTATGGCCATTAATCTTGAGTCTCTTCATTTGCCTTCCACTTATTACATTGTTTATGATTAAGGATATGAAAGGTTGTATGGATTCCTATAAATTGATAGTGAAGGCTAATGGAATGATATGGTTGTTGTGCCCTACATTTGGTGTTCTTCTTCTTCTCCTTTCTCTTTTACTTCTCTACTCTATACACGCATACATATACACGCATATCTCCAAGCTATTATCATGCAACTATCACGCGAGATCTGGGCTAATTGATAGGTCAAATTACAACAAAATTTTTGTTTTCTCATTTTTTAGAGAATTTATAATGAGTTGTATATTCTATAAAATTGTATTGTGTTTTGTTAACGATGTAAATGAAAGAGTATAGTTTATCAAATACAAAGTATACTCTTGACATTGTTATGTACCATGTCATAGAAATTTTTCTTTAAAACAAAAAAAAAAAAATAAAAGAGAGAAGAGTGAAGTATATTGCTTGGCAATTTATATCGTGCACCACGGCGCAAATAGCAATGTGCGCCCAGGCACAAAATGCGCGCGTTTCAATTGCTGACGTCACTTCGTCCGTCCAAACAGTCAAAACCCCATTATGTGTATTCAGTTAAAAGTTTATGTGTATTATGTTATGAGTTTCTGTGTATTCAGTTAAGAGTTCCTGTGTATTCAGTTAAGAGTTGATGTGTATTCAGTTAAGAGTTTCTATGTATTCAGTTAAGAGTTCCTGTGTATTCAGTTAAAAGTTTCTGTGTGTGTGTGTGTGTGTGTAATCGAGTTCAGGTGTGGCGGGGTCTTCCCGTGCGGCGGTGCGGCGTCACCGATAGTAAAGCAAATATACACCATCAACGTTAGAAAATGCACCACAAAACCACACTAAAATTAGGTACGCATCACCAAAAACACACCATTCGGTGTGAGTAAAACCACCATACAGTGTTCGGAAATATACCATTAGGGGTGGTGAGTTATATGGTGTATTTATTAGCTGTGTTGTGTATTTTTTGGAGTATTTTTGCATTTCATTGTGGTGTGTTTCCCTTACACTGTTGGTGTGTTTTGATGTAGCAAAACTAAGATGTGAGCTCGGGTGTGTTATATCGTCCTCAGGGGATTGGGGGATATGGCACGCAATATGCAATCAAAATAAACTAGGCACTAGCATAAGGAAATCAACAAGAAGCTAAGCAAACTACAAGTTTAAGGACATGATAAGACTAACACATACACAAAGATAAACACAAAATAAAGAAATAGGACTCAAGCTAGGGAGAATTATCATCTAGATGCTTTAACAGCCTAAGGGTTTAGGGAGAACAAGTAAGCAAGGAATCAAGCGGGAATGCACGTAGGTATCCTAGTCTACGAACCATTCTCGTGATTAATAAACAAGGATTAGAACAAGGCATTGCCCTACTTTCGTGGTGAATCAATTCCAAGTCCATCAAACACACAAAGCATCTAAAGCCCCCAATTTCCCCTATTTTCGTAGGAAGAAATCGGGTCTATGTAAGGGGTGGTTTGGATTAATCACCCAGCTCTCGTTGAGGCAAGGAATCCTCCAAAAATAAGCTAATGAATGTGTACATCAAACATTAACAATATACAAATACAAATCCTTCATAAACTCAAGAACCCTAGGTTAGTGTTCTTCCCCTTTTTACAAAAATCACAAATCAAGCATCAAGATAGATAATACAACCCTAACTCAAGTTCATAAACTAACTACTCATGATTAAATAGCATAAAGAACACAAGAACACAAGCATGAAACATAAATCTTGCAAACTAAAGAGATAAAAGGAAGTAAGAACTTATGTATTGAAAATGGAAGAACAATCTTCAAATGTTGGAATCCAAGCTTCAAATCCAAGATTACAAACTTCAAAAGTGTTAAGAAACATAAATCTAACCCCAATCTAACCTAAAAATATGAAGGAGAATGAAAGAGAGTGTCTAGGGTTCTAACAAGAGTCAAAACCAAGTAGAAATGACCAAAAATCGTGCATAAATAAAGCAGAGCGCAGGTGACACGGCCAAGGACATGGCCATGTCCCTGGCCGTGTCCAAAAAGGCAATGCACACTGGAATTTGCACAGAAATTACACGGCCACAGACACGGACATGCACTTGGCCGTGTCTTTTGGCCTTCAAAACTTCAGAATTTGGAATTACGATCTTCAAAAAAGTTGTAGCTCTTCGAGTCTTCTTTCCAATGGGGCAAGAATCACTTCATTTGAACATTCCTAGGCTGAGATATGGTCCAAAAACAAAACAGTGGTCAGTTTTGGTTGTAAGTTTGGAACTTCAACTTCAAGGACAATTTTGACCCATGTGTCTTCCTTTTTAGGCTTTGACATATGCATAAGAACTGTATCCCTTTGAGTCTTCTTTCCAACGGAACAAGAATCACATAATTTGGATACTTCTAGACCAAGATATGGCCGGAAATCTGAACAGTGGCCAATCCATGCGAGAATTTCAGCTTGTTGACACTTATTCCACTTTTGCCTTGGTTTAATTTGTCCATATGATCAACACCATTGAAAACATCACTCTTTGGCTCCTTTTGAAGTGTTGCATCCATTTCCTTAGCTTCACATTGGATCCCCTTGACTCCAAATGCATCCAACATGATCTAAAATCCTTCATTTCTACTCAAAGATAATGAATTGTGCATAATGGATCAAATGAGCAAAATAAAGATCATTTTGAACAACATTGTGACACTTCATAAGCAAAACAAGGCTAAATATGGGGTATAAATATGAACAATTATGCACTTATCATTTTTCCCTTACACTGTTGGTGCCTTTCGTTAACACTGTTGGTGTATTATGAAACTCCGCCGCACCGCCGCATGGGAAGACCCCACTGTAACGTTTATCCGTTACTATTATTATAACATTAGGATAAGTTATGATAATATTCAGTATTTGATATGTGGTGCAACACTAATAACCTAATAACTAGACTACCATTATGATTAGGAGTCTGGTTAGGGTTTAGGAGACCTAAAGACAATCAACCACAATGATGGCCAGTGGTTATATAAGGTCACTAGTCCTCTCACTGCTCACATTACATACCTTATACACCATCTAGAGAGATCTGAGTAAAGTGAGAGACAAAATACTCGTTACCTCCCTCTGCAGCAGTCCGGATCGTGCAACCGTGTAAAGAGCTATGGCTGGAGGTTAGTCGATCCTGTAATCACATATTTATGATGCATGTGATATTTTAGTCTAACAGTTGGTATCAGTCGCCATAAATAATCTCTGCCTAGTTTTTTTTCAATTGCTTAAATATTTGCATATTTTATATACTTTGTTATATAATTGAGATTATGTGAATATTCTTTAGTATGCAATTATATTGTCTAGGCTGCTGGAAATTAAGTTTTTATTCCGCATTAAGAAACAAAACAAAAATAAAAAAAATAAAAAAAATTGGATATTTTTTCTGCTTCGCGACATGGCTACGGCGGATTCGTCCGTCCACTTCATACATCGCTGGTCTGCGCTACTGCTGGTCCCTTGGTTTCTCACGAAGCAGATTAGTGAAGGAGATGATGATGAATGGATGGGCTTAAGTAATGGGCTTGGGCTCATTACTAAAATTAAAAAAAAAACAATTTTTTTTTACTGGGCCTGTTATGGTTTTGGGCCAAGCCTGAATTGATATTTGGACTACATCAATTCATTCAGTTTAATATCATCATCATATCTGGACTTCTTCTAATTAAATTATCCAATTGAATTTTTTTTTATTAAGTCCATTATTAAATTATTATTCAACTTTGAATAATTATTCAGTTTTTAATTTTTCAGTTGAATTTTAATTTAATAATGTTTTTCAGTTTAAATTGTATTAAGTGTTGCAATTTAATTATGGAGTATTTGTGAGTAATATGCATAATCTGAGCATGCTATTTATCTTTTTATTGCAATAATTATTTGACTGTTATAACTATGCCTGTAGAAAAGCATGTTCATTAAGAAAAATTTAGAGCCTTTTAGGTCTGAATTATATGTTATGCCTGAATTAGTGCCTTTTAGGTGAATTAGTGTCTTTCAGGTTAGATTATGCATATTATTACTCAACCTTCAGTTATTACTCCACTCGTGTTTTATAAAGTTCCTAAAGCACATTAAGTACATAAACAATTCGTAGTTTTACCCTATTCAAAGCCTTATCCATAGGTGAAACTACTCTTTAGATCTCTCAAACGATTTTACTTCAAAAATGAGAACACATGAATTAGGGAAGTTTCTTGGGGAGGAATACTAGTTCTATGGCCCTGGCTTAAAAGCCTTGTTGCTACTAGTCCCCTTGCGACGCTACTCTGTCTAAGGAGTTGGTATTTAACCGAGCTTCGTCTCGACCAACTTTCCTGGGAGTATACCTAAGGATTGTCTATCATATTTTGGTTTAATCTGTTTGATTATTAGGTTTTCTTGCTAATGTGATTATGTTTTTTGGTTAATTAAAGAGTAGCCACAGCATCTTTAATTTTTCCAAAATTACATATTAAGTTTTACTCACATAAAGTTAATGCAAGAATATTGTAATTCACTCTGCGTGATATGGCAAAATTTAGCCCACAGGCAATTTTGTTATATTTGTAGGGTGAATTAGGATGAAATACCATACTATGATCATAATTTGCCCACAAGGATTATGTATCGGCATATAGTTTTGGTAGTTTTGTCATTAAGGGTGGAAAAATTAAAATCGCACCCATTTCGTTTCCACCATTCAGTTTTGGTAAATTCATTATGCGTAAAAATTTAGCCCACAGGCAATTTTTATGGCATCCAAATTTATCTTTTGCATAATTTTACATTGGTAATATTGTGTACTTCAGTATCACTCTCTAATTTTGTGCCTCAAAAATATTCTAACCAAGCTTTCAATTTTTCTTTTACAGTCACTCTTCCAATCACTGAATCAATAACAATTGATATTCCTATCCTTAATTATGACAATCACAAAGAGTGGAAAGACGCTGTTTTATTGAATTTAGGAATATTAGGGTTTGATTATGCTCTTCGCATTAAGAAGCCTGCTGAGCTTACTGCGGAAAGCACTGAGGAACAAAAAGCGCTATACGAGCGATGGGCAACAGCCAATCGCTTAGGCGTATTCCTCATTAAGTCTAAAATTGCCAGAGAGATTCGTGGTCCCGTCGATGATATTGAGGACATTGAGCCATTACTCAAGGCCATTGATGATCAATTTGTTGACGCGAACAAATCTCTGACAAGTACCCTGATAATGCAGTTTATCAATATGCGTCTTTCCACTGTCAAGGGAACGCGGAAACACATCATGGAACTCAGGGACATTGCGGCACAATTGAAGAAGTTGAAAATTATTCTTCCAGATGCCTTTGTGGTGCACTTTGCACTAAATACCCTATCTCAGGACTATAATGCATTTAAAATTTCCTATAATACACATAAGGATGAATGGTCTATCAATCAATTGATTACCATGTGTACTCAAGAGGAAACACGGCTTTTAACTGAGCTTGGGGAAAGTGCTTTTATGGCCACAACAAGGCCTAAAAGAAAGTCTGGAAAACCTAAGGGACTTACCATAGCTGCTAAGGAGAAACTAACCCCGAAAGCAGACATTAAGAAGATACAAAAGTGTTTCTTTTGCAAAAAGAAGGGACACATGAAGAAAGATTGTATCAAGTTTCAGAAATGGATGTCCCAAAAAGGTAACATTTCATCTTCTTTCGTTTGTTTCGAATCTAATATGTCAAAAGTTAATACTAATTCTTGGTGGGTTGACTCTGGTTCAACAATCCAAATTGCAAACTCTTTGTAGGATTTGACAAAATTGAGACAGCCAACGGGAACTGAGTGTAGCATCTTCTCTGGAAACAAGATTGCGTCACCAGTCGAAGCTGTCGAAGTTTGCAATTTAGTTTTGGACAATGGTTTTGTAATGACGTTAGAAAAGACATTTTATGTTCCTAGTTTTCTAGGAACTTAGTTTCAGTATCTAGACTTGTACCCTTCGGTTATTTTTTTGAATTTAATGCCAATGATTTCAAGTTATTTCGTTATTCTACTTGTGTTGGTACTGGTACATTGTCTAATGGTCTTTTCCGTCTTAAATTAAAGAATGATTCAGTTTACAATTCTTTACATGTTCAAAACGGCACCAAACGGTGTAGTATTAACGACAATTCCTCAATGTTGTGGCATCGGAGATTAGGTCATATCTCCCTTGAGCGTATTAAAAGGTTGGTAAAGGATGGAGTACTTTCTACTCTAGACTATACTGACTTTGAGACTTGCGTTGACTGCATTAAGGGTAAGCAGACAAACAAGTCAAAGAAAGGTGCCAATAGAAGTTCAACGTTGTTGGAAATTATTCATACTGACATATGTTGTCCTGATATGACAATACCTGGTCAGAAATATTTCATCACCTTTATTGATGACTTCTCAAGATTTTCCTATGTGTATTTACTTCATCATAAACATGAAGCATTGGATGCCTTTAAATCATTTAAAGCTGAAGTTGAAAACCAATGTAACAGGAAAATACACATAGTTAGGTCTGATAGGGGTGGTGAATACTATGGTAGATATACTGAGAATGGACAAGCACCTGGTCCCTTTGCTAAGTTTCTTCAAGAGCATGGGATTGTTGCCCAATACACCATGCCTGGTTCTCCGGACCAAAATGGTGTAGCTGAAAGAAGAAACCGGACCCTTCTGGATATGGTGCGGAGTATGCTTAGCAACTCTAAGCTTCCTAAGTCGTTGTGGGATGAAGCGCTTAAGACGGCAACGTATATATTAAACCGTGTTCCAACCAAGGCTGTCCCTAAGACACCGTTTGAGTTATTCAAAGGTTGGAAACCGAGTTTGCAACATATGCGTGTTTGAGGATGTCCGTCTGAGGTGAGGATATATAACCCACACGAGAAGAAACTTGATCCAAGGACGATTAGTGCTTTCTTTATTGGATATGCACAATCTTCTAAAGGTTATAGGTTCTATTGTCCATCTCATACTACTAGGATAGTGGAATCAAGGAATGCTAAATTTCTTGAAGATGACTTGATTAGTGGGAGTGATCGGTTTAAGGACTTAGTTCCTTCCTTCGATCATATTGACTCTCAACCTTCTACGTCATCTGGTGGGGTTGTACTTATCCGTAGTGCTCCTTTAGTTATGCCTGCAGATATACCACCTACCGTTGAGATTCCACAAACTGTTGAGGATCAGCCTTTGGAAGAACCAGTTCAGGACTTGCAGCAACCGCCTGAACTAGATTTCGAACCAATGGTTGAACCAACTCAGGATATACAGCAAGATTCTGAGCCGATGCAGATTGAACCGATTCAAGAACTGCCACCAGTTCCTGAAGAGGTAGTTGCCCCGCAGCCTGTACAAGGTGATGAGGGTCCAACCTTAAGACGGTCTACTCAGATAAGGCGATCAGCAGTTCCTAGTTATTATGTTTCGTATCTACAAGAATCTGACATAGGGGCTGAAGATGATCCTGAAACATTCTCTCAAGCCACAAATTGTGCACAGTCTGACTTATGGTTAGAAGCCATGAAAGATGAAATGAATTCCATGAAGGACAATGGAGTTTGGGATCTTGTTGAGTTGCCTAATGGGGCCAAGGCCATTGGCTGTAAATGGGCTTTTAAGACTAAAAGAAACTCATTAGGCAACATTGAGAGATACAAGGCCCGGCTTGTTGCCAAGGGATTTACTCAAAAAGAAGGAATCGATTACAAGGAGACATTTTCTCCTGTATCAAAGAAAGATTCACTTCAGGTCATTCTGGCATTAGTTGCACATTTTAATCTTGAGTTGCAACAAATGGATGTGAAAACCGCTTTCCTAAATGGTGATCTAGAAGAGGAGGTTTATATGAAACAACCTGAAGGTTTCTCTTCTAGGGGTGGTGAGCATTTAGTATGTAAGCTTAAGAAATCCATATACGGTTTAAAACAAGCCTCCCGTCAATGGTATCTCAAATTCGATGGGGTAATTTCTTCATTTGGTTTTGTTGAAAATCCCTCAGATAACTGTATATACCAGAAGGTGAGTGGGAGTAAAATTTGCTTTCTTGTTTTATATGTGGATGACATCTTACTTGCCACCAATGATAAGGGGATGCTTCGTGATGTGAAACAATTTCTTTCTAAAAACTTTGATATGAAGGATATGGGTGATGCCTCTTATGTTATTGGCATTAAAATTCAGAGAGATAGGTCCCGGGGTATACTGGGTTTATCTCAAGAAACCTATATAAACAAAGTTTTAGAGAGATTTCATATGCAAAATTGTTCACCGAACGCTGCTCCCATATCTAAGGGGGATAGATTCAGTTTGGACCAATGTCCGAAAAATGATTTGGAGAAGGAATCCATGGAGAACATCCCTTATGCTGCAGCAGTTGGATGTCTTGGATATATTCAAGTTTGTACGAGGCCGGATATTGCTTTTGCGGTTGGAATGCTAGGGCGTTACCAACACAATCCGGGGTTAGACCATTGGGGAGCTGTAAAGAAGGTTCTAAGGTATCTCAAAGGAACCAAAGGTTACAAGCTTGGGTTTAGGAAGACCGACAATTTAGATCTTATCGGTTATTCAGACGCAGACTTCGCTGGCTGTGTTGATTCTCGAAAATCAACTTCAGGGTGCGTCTTCATTATGGCCGGTGGGGCTATCTCATGGAGAAGTGTTAAACAGTCCTTAATAGCTACTTCTACCATGGAAGCCGAGTTCGTTTCCAGTTTCGAGGCAACTTCATAGGGTGTTTGGCTAAAGAATTTTATCTCTGGGCTTAGAATTATGGATTCTATATCTAAGCCATTGAAAGTCTACTATGACAACTCAGCTACAGTCTTCCTAGCTAAGACCACAAAAGTGGGAGTCGAATTAAGCACATCGACATCAAGTTCTTAGCAATTAGGGAGCGTGTCAAAAATAAAGTTGTATTCATTGAACACATTCATACTGAGTTGATGTTAGCAGATCCCTTGACTAAAGGCATGCCACCATTTAAGTTCAAGGATCTGATTCAGAAAATGGGACTTTCGCCCAATTTGTAATTTGTATATATACATTCAGTTTTAATAAAATTCTTTAGCATTCAGACATTTTCTCAATTAAGTGTGTACACCTTCATTTACTTTATATTGATGAGAAAATGTACTTCAGGGACTTGGAATAAACATAGGGTTTATTTCGTTGGGTTTTGTTTCCTAATTAAGTGCTCAATTGCAGTTTGCATTTGATCATAATGGATACTACTCGTGCTAATGAGAACATATCATTATGGTTGGTGTTTTTCTGTTATTGAGTGGTAGTGCTTGCACCAAGTGGGAGAATGTAACGTTTATCCGTTACTATTATTATAACATTAGGATAAGTTATGATAATATTCAGTATTTGATATGTGGTGCAACACTAATAACCTAATAACTAGACTACCATTATGATTAGGAGTCTGGTTAGGGTTTAGGAGACCTAAAGACAATCAACCACAATGATGGCCAGTGGTTTTATAAGGTCACTAGTCCTCTCACTGCTCACATTACATACCTTATACACCATCTAGAGAGAGCTGAGTAAAGTGAGAGACAAAATACTCGTTACCTCCCTCTGCAGCAGTCCGGATCGTGCAACCGTGTAAAGAGCTATGGCTGGAGGTTAGTCGATCCTGTAATCACATATTTATGATGCATGTGATATTTTAGTCAAACACCCACCGCATTTGAACTTTCTTCTATATATATATATATATATATATATATATATATATATATATATATATATATATATATATATATATATATATATATATATATATATATACATATGTATATATATATATGTATGTGTGTATATATATATATATATATATATATATATATATATATATATATATATATGTATATGTATATATATATATATATGTGTGTGTGTGTGTGTGTGTGTGTATTCAAATGAGGACAAGTATATTATAGAGGACTGTGAGGACAGATGTAGTGTGTGCCATTAGCCGGTATGTTGTGTGCATGGCCGAATGAAGTCCTGCGCCACAGTTTGTATGTCGCGTGCTAGTTTTGTTAACATTTATTCTTGGGTACCATTATGTATTAAGTTGTGTGCCTGGTATTAGTTTGTTGTGTGCCCATTATTTGTCCTCACAGTCCTCTATATATTGTTGCCCTCATTTGAACTCAACCCTATATATATATATATATATATATATATATATATATATATATATATATATATATATATATATATATATATATATATATATGTGTGTGTGTGTGTGTGTGTGTGTGTGTGTGTGTGTGTGTGTGTGTGTGTGTGTGTGTGTGTGTGTGTGTGTGTGTGTGTGTGTGTGTGTGTGTGTGTGTGTGTGTGTATTCAAATGAGGAAAAGTATATTATAGAGGACTGTGAGGACAGATGTAGTGTGTGCCATTAGGCGGTATGTCGTGTGCCCCAGTTTGTATGTCGCGTGCTAGATTTGTTAATTTATAGAGTCTGGGTTCGAAACCTAATGTTTACATTTATTCTTGTGTGCCATTATGTATTAAGTTTTGTGCCTGATATTAATTTGTTGTGTGTCATTATTTGTCCTCACAGTCCTCTATATATTGTTGTCCTCATTTGAACTGAACCCTATATATACATACATACATACATACACACATATATATATATAT